CTCCCCTCTTCCTCCAAGAAGCGCCAGTCTTTTTCATTTTGTTCGAGTCGGCCCTCTGTCAGATGGAGAGGGCAAGAGAGGTCAAGGCTGGTAGTCTGAGAGGTGAAGAGCGAGTCCGATTCATTATTCAGCGTGTCAACCTGCAGCTGTCTCCTGCTGTCTCTGTGCTTCAGCGTCTCGCTATGGAAGAAAGGTGCTTGTCTGCGTTTGTGTGTGCATGTAAATGGGCGTGTTTTCATGCGTTCACACGACAGGGTCAGAGTGCAGATCTGGAGTGTTTTTGGGGGTAGTCGCTGCCAGTCAACACTCCAGAAGGGAGCAGCGGCGAGGGAGGCACCGAATGCTGGGAGAGAGTAGTGTCATTAGTTTGGGTCGTCTTTGCTGTCGGTTATAACATGAGAGCAACAAACAGCTGATCAGACCCAGGACCCAGTATCTTTTGTAAACATCCATCACAGTTTAGACCACATTTTGATCTACTGTGCTCACTGGTGTTGTGTGAGCAGAGATCTCCTGTGAAATGAGGGATCATAACCGACATTTCAGTTGGACTCAAGTTTTGTTTTTTACTTCCGAGTGTTTTTTTGATGATCTGGCTAAAGTGTGCTTCTTCCCCAGCATTGTCGTAGTTCAGTGACAGGAATGATGACCAGGACTGTCATTATCCAGATCATCCAAACTCATTTGGAATAAAACTTTTGTCAATATGAACGTTGACCGTGCTTTTAAAGCTGCTTGAATATGTATGGCATGTTTGCAGAAGGAAGTGTTTTCAAGAGGTGGGATTGTTTTTTAAGCGGCGTCCTTGCAGAGGCTCGTGATTGACGGGCAGCGGGACGTGTAGAGCAGCTCTCTCCAGTCTGTTACTATGGGCACCATCTACTCAAAGGACCCCGATCAGAAAGCAGCTCATTCTCACGCCTTCTGAGAACTCTGCCGGGAGTAAACACCACCGCAGCCCAAGCCAAACCTTTTCTTTCTGCCTCTCTCTCTCTCTCTCTCTCCAGCTCTCTGTGGGTGTGTGTGGGATGTCGTGTCAGGGCTGAAGCCCCTCCCTCTCCCATGAGCCCGTGTGCCCACGCACACACCTGGCGCCTCCACGCACACGCCCGGCGCCCACGCACGCACAGCCGGCACTGACGCTGTGAACCGGGACCCCTCAGGAGCCCAGCGGAGCCAAGCGGAGCGGAGTCGAGCCCAGTTGGAGCCTGAGGATGTCAACAGAGACAGAGCTACAGCCAGCGGTCCGGCCCAGTAGCATCAGACGGGACTCCAAGAGGAAAGGTAGGAACACTGTAAACTATTAATACTGCAAATACAAATTATTGTGGTGCGATCATGGATAGAGTCAGCGGGTTTGGACTTTGAAGCCTGGATTACAAACAGTTTGGTTCGTCAGATGCATGATGCAACATTTATGATGCTTTAATGACGGTGTTGGTCGGTCTGTCTGCTCGGGACAAGCCCGTGTTGCTGCAATAAAAATGATTAAAGTGAGATGAACCTTTGTCTCGTTAGATAAAATAGATATAATAACTCTCAGTGGAAAAAAGGTGATAAATCGCAATACATCGCAATATTCATACCAAGCTGTTTACGTGACTAATGAATATTCCACTAACATTCTGGTTTACATGCAGCCGTTCACACAACAGCACAGCCTTCTTCTCATCCCGTCAACACATCCACATCATAATGAAGGGCGTCGCAATATTACGGTATTGACGAAAACCGGGAAATTTAATATCGAGATCATGTTATTAACACAACTATAATAATATCGTGTAAATAATCCATTGTCCCTTAAGTCATTTTATATATAAAGTTATGGTTTACAGACTGTCCACCTCCCTACTCTCCTATTTTGAGTGTAATTCATTTGCCAAAACAAAAACAAACTATAACAAAGCTAAAGATATATTGGATATCGCGATGACATCGTGATCGTGAATTCTTTTGCCCGCGATAATCGTGTAGTGAAAGTCTAACACCATGACAGCCCCCGCCCTGTTCCTGGTGTTTGAATGTAGACCTGTTTCTCTTTCCGACCTGAAATGTGGGCTTTTCTTTTCAGGCATTCATCTCTCCCTCAGCCTCGCAAACAGTTGGCCGGTTGGTTTGAGTTCAACGCACAGAGCGGTCGTTAACAGTAGTCCGTGTGTCTCAAACTGCAATAAAACCCACAGTGTGAATGTGCTGTATACCTGTCCAAAGAATGCTCCTTAATCCTGAATATACATGAGACGCATGTATAATATCCCACATATCTAAAGGCCTTTACAGTCCAGGAGCATTGTTTTGGTGCAATTAATTGCACGTTTTTGAACTGTTGTTTTTTTGTCATGAATACTTTAACACAGAACACAAAAAATATGCGGCTTTTTCCGGAACAAGGTTGAGCTTTTTGAGCTTTTGCGCCTCAAATAAAGGCATCGACCGATCAATCAAGTTGATCAATCAAGACCGCAGACCAGATCTACTCGTTCTTACCTTCCACAATAAAAGCCCAAGACACGTAATAGTCACAGGCGCTTTTGCGCCGTTAATTAGTAACGGCCCCCGGTGTGTAAAGACCCTTAATCGTAGAACGGTACATTCGGAATGAGGCCTAATTTCAAGGATCATTTATTGTCATTATGCAACACAGAGATGCACAACTTTCACAGAATTCAGTTGCAACACAACAAACACACGATAAACGAAAGACAAAGAGTACATTCCTGTACTAGGAGTGATAGTGTATTATTAGTGTGCATGTAAAGGCGTTCAGTGTTGCCCTTTAAGTCGTGTGAAAGGAATCCCTTTACTTCTACTTCTCTACTTACTTTTAGATCAGAATAATCAGGAGTATATTACAAACACAGAACCTTGTACGGCCCTCAGTGCTGGTAAACTATTACACGCTGGTAAACACACACACGTTTGTCAGCTACGATTCTTTCCTCTTTATTAATGATGGATTTGGGTTAGACAGCAGGATGCAGGGTGGCTGCTGTTCATAGCTAATCAACAGGTGCGGTGCGTATCACGGTACAGTAGGTTGCCACCAAACAGGTGCAGGGATGCCGTGTGGTTGGTGTGGTTCCAGGTGTGAAAAGCTCCAGAGGCGGGTAGCTAGCAGGTGTACGAGAGCAGGCCCGGGTTGGTCCCAGAGCAGAGGTGATGCCGGGGGGGGGCGGCAGCAGCCATCGCCCAGCTGCTCGCTGCCAGCTGCCCGACGTCGAGAGCGACGCCCGGCGTTCTCCGAATAAGCATCTGATTGATGTGGCAAAACACTCTGGACACCGCCGGGAACGACACTTAACGGATGCACGGCAGCCACGCGGAAACACGCGCGCGCTATCACCCGCAGCAGACGCCTCATTGCACACGGCACGCCGCCTCTCAGCCGCCCTGCAAACAAGTGCCCCCCCCCCCCCATACACAGTGTGTGAGGGTAGCCTGAATGCCTCTCATGTCCTATTTAGAAACAGCATTGTTCTGCTGCAATGGAGATCATGTTCATCATTCAGACTGCTCTCCATATGTGGGGAGATGCCGACACACACACACACACACACACACACACACACACACACACTCACTGGGGACTGGGATTGAAGCCCAGAAGAGCATATGAGAGGAAAGATGAATGGTTTGCCTTCAGCATTTAGACTTGAGGGTTTTTTAGCTTCTCCTCTCTGCCTTCGTCTCCGTCTCTTTCCTCTGTGTCTCTCTCTCTCTCTATCTCTCTCTCTCTCTCACACACACACACACACCTACACACACCTTATCTTCCACCGTTTATGGGGTTCAAACACGGGGAAACTTGCTGAAAATAGGCGATAGACACCTTTTCTTCTGGTGTGCACAAATACACCCGTGGCGAAAAGTTTTGAGAATGACACAAATATTAATTTTCACAAAGTCTGCTGCCTCAGTTTTTATGATGGCAATTTGCATATACTGCATATACTCATCAATAACTTCAAGGAGAGAGGTTCAATTGTTGTGAAGAAGGCTTCAGGGCCCCCAACAAGTCCAGCAAGCGCCAGGACCGTCTCCTAAAGCTGATTGAGCTGCGGGATCGGGGCACCACCAGTGCAGAGCTTGCTCAGGAATGGCAGCAGGCAGGTGTGAGTGCATCTGCACGCACAGGGAGGCGAAGACTTTTGGAGGATGGCCTGGTGTCGAGAAGGGCAGCAAAGAAGCCACTTCTCTCCAGGAACAACATCAGGGACAGACTGATATACTGCAGAAGGTGCAGGGATTGGACTGCTGAGGACCGGGGTAAAGTCATGTCCTCTGATGAATCCCCTTTACCATTGTCCGGAGAAGAAAAGGTGAGGTCACAATTTAGCCTCAGAACACAGCCATGAATAAAGCATGGCACCAAAACAACACTGCAAATATTGACTCTTTGCATAAACTTAATGTAATTGTCAATAAAAGCCTTTCACACTTGTAATTATACTCCAGTGTACCAGTAACATCGGACAAAAAGGTCTAAAAACACTGAAGCAGCAGACTTTGTGAAAACCAATATTTGTGTCATTCTGGAAACCTTTTAGCGTCGGGTGTCCACCGTAAGAAGTTGGAAACAGTAAAACTGTTACTGTGGTTACTTCTTTGTTTTTTAGATCTTTTATTGTTCAGTTTCTCTTTCAAACTCTTAAAACAGAGTTGTTGATTGTTGGAGCAGTAAAGACAAACAAAGAGAGTTGTTGAGTTTTATTCTCTTCCTGTAGGGTTCGTTGAAGTGGGTTGACTGTTGTCTGACTGGAGTCTGGTGGCTTTGAGGAGAGCATATTAATTGTATGTTTTGTACGATGATAAATTATGATAATTGTCAGAATTGTCCACTGGTGCTGGAGGCGATACGAGAGTCAATTATCTGGTAATAAATTCAGACAAAAGCCAGATGTTAGCAGGTGTTCGTGTCAGTTGGGAAAAGGGCTTCATTCTGCATATCTTCTCTTTTTTTAAAGGGTGATGTAGAATTCACTTTGCTACAAAGTGAAGTGGTGGAGCTGGGCTCACGCAGAGACCTCATCTCTGTTCTGATCTGGGTCACTGAAACAGACACACACACACACACACACACTCGGCAGGGTGATGAAAGTCAAACGCAATCATACACCACACGCAAGCAACAAGCAGGAAATACTGTTCCTGTTACGTTCAGTACATACACGTGTTTCTGTTTCAGTCCGGAGGAGCTTGATTTGAGTGAAAAAAGATCCACTGAGTAGCCGATCATCACGAGGGTTTGGAACGGCAGCTCGGCTGCTGTGAGAATCCCTGCAGGATGGTCCTCTAACAACCTTCCTCCTCCTCCTCCTCCTCCCCACTGCTCTGACTCTTAAATGACCTTGCCCTGAATGAGTGAGACTAGGAGGAGAGACTGATCACCAGGAGAGAGAGAGAGAGAGAGAGAGAGAGACTAATGAGTCAATGTGAAGGAGAGCTGTTTAATCTCAGGCCTTTGTTTCACAGTTCTGTGGTGAAGAATGTAATGAAGAAGAGTCTGGGACGGCAGCATGTCACACATTAATCACAGACGGTGTGTGTGTGTGTGTGTGTGTGTGTGTGTGTGTGTGTGTGGCGACTGTGGCTAAGTGGATAGCCGGGCGTCCTTCAATCAGAGGGTCGGCGGTTCGATCTCCGGCTCTGCTCGTCGCATGTCGATGTGTCCTTGAGCAAGACACTTAACCCCAAAATTGCTCCCGTAGTTGTGCCTACGGTGTAGAAATGTGATAGACTCTGAATTGTAAGTCGCTTTGGATAAAAGCATCTGCTAAAATGACTGTAATGTGTGTGTGTGTGACTGGGTCCATGCGTCGGTGTGTATCCGAGTGTGTGTTGTCTCACACACGCGGTTATGTTTCATCGGTGAGCTCAGGGGTCGTTCTTTTTCCTCTACCAGAAGGCTTTTTATTGAATTACCATGAGAAGATGGAGATAACCTCTGACCTTCAGCATTAACATGACCTGAGGCGAATAACTGCGGCTCTCCGCTTCCTCCGACAAAAGAATTTGTCGCTCTTATTGGTCGGGCCGGGTTCTTGAAGCATAATAGTCTTTATTAATCCTCAATAAATCCAGAAAGATTACATCTGTCCACCTCTCTATCCCCGTCTCATATTCTCTCTCCGCCCCCGCCGTCCTTCCTCCGCCCGTCTGGTCTACTTCTGTATCTGCAAATCATATCGATTTCAATATTAATGTGTGACCCTTTATCGCAAAGCGATGTCTTCTCACGACCCCGGTTCATAACGCTGTGAACTGTGAGCAGGTCAACCAAA